CATTGCTGAGAGAGTTGTAAAGCACAGGAACAGGCTGCCCGGGGAGGTGGTGGATTCACCATCCCTGGAGGTGTTCAAAAAAATGTGCAGAAGTGGCACTTCAGGACATGGTTTAGCAGGCGTGGTGGGGATGGGTTGATGGTTGGACTTGATGGTGTTAGAGGTCTTTTCCAACCTTAATGATTCTATGATTCTGTGATCCTCCCTGGGTGGGAAACACATCGGCTTTGTGGCTGCGAGGTACAGAAGCGGAATCCCTCCTCAAAGTTTCTGCAGGGAGATGGCCTCATCTGGGCAGAGGTGCAAGCATCCCATTAAGAAAAAATCCCACAAACCGCATATCGAACGGCTTTCCTGCCCCGTACAGACAAGGGGGACATGGACATTTCCCCACTCAGCCCCCTCGCTGGACGTGGTGGAGAGCACACGCGCCGTTGTGCCTCACGCAGGAGCAAGGTGGCACGTCCAGGGCTACGTGACTGCAAGATACAGCACCCTCCTTATGTCATCGTGCTGAATGCACTTCATTTCCCCTGAGCCCAGAGCGCACCCCAGACAGCATCTCCCTGGGGACAGGGACTTCAAGAACGGCTGAGTGTCTTCTGCTGGAGGTGGCCAGTTGGCAAGAAACACGTCGCTTCTTCGGACAATTAGGAAAAAATGCAACTTATTAATCATTGATGAAACACCAAATTATTTCAAGGGGGTGCAAGCTAATAGTGGTTAATTCTCATTTTACCCTCTCAAGGCGTAGTTGTTCCCAGCTAAAGGCATGCTAAATTACGTGAATAATTTGATAAATATATTAACTGCCTAATGCCCCTGAAATGCATCTAATTGCAATTGCTATGGCTAGACGAGAAATGTGTCTCAAAAAGGAAGAACTCAATTTCTTACCGTGGTTTAACAAGAAACACTCTGAAGCGCCTGCTCTAATCTCTTCACTTCTGCTGAGTAATTTTCTCTATCGCTTCTTCGCGGGGAGCTGTCGCCGCCGGGACGTGCCTTCGCCCGCAGCCGTCCCCGCGTCCCACCGCGTGCACTGCTGGAAAGCAAATTTCCTACAGAAGCAATTTCTTGGTAGGAAATCGGTCTTCTAGTGACTGTCGGTTTTTTTTGTAGTGTATTTGCCACAGAAAATTCTGTTCGTGTTTTGGGATGATGCTTGGATAGTTCAGTTTTAGTTTGTTCCCTGTCTTGCTGTTGTCTGCGGGAGACTGAACCTTCTGGGATTGATCTGGGGCTCCCGAGTGACCCTCGGAACAGTGGGAAATTGTGGCGAAGGAGAAAGGTGGAGTTCACCCCCTCCGTTTTCACACAGAATAACCGTCTCTGGGGAAAAATACAGACTGATTTTGTGGCTGTGCTGAGACGTTCCCATTCCAGCCACCCTCCAACATCAGAGATGGGAAACCGAGGCAGCGAGGGAACAAACGCCTTCATACACGAACGCTGTGAAGCCGGCTGTCCCAACGGGCTCACCCAAGACTTGGGGAGTCCCTGTTCATCTCAGGTTGGACACGCAGGGACACGGAAGCTTCCCACCATCTCCAGCGACCCCAAAGCCCGTCTCCAACGGCACGACCAGCCACAGCCTCGCGACACCCGCTGCTCCTGCACCTTAGCTCCAACCCCAACCTTCCCTGCCCCCCCAAAGCCCCGCCATGGAGGCGAGAAAGCCCAAAGATGCTCCAGCAGCCTCACCCCAGCGACCCACACCAGGGACCCTCTCATCCTAAATCTTTCCCACCTGGACCTGCAAACGACCTGAGCTAATTCCCCCTCTCCATGGGTTGCTCCCCTGAGTTTCGCAGCTCCTGGCTGGGTCTCACAGACGAAGCAGAGCTGGCGATGCTGGGGCACGGCCAGCCCTCCAGCCCCGGAGCCCTGCGGGGATGCAGGCGTTTCCTCGCGGAGGAACTCGGCAGATGCCGTCTTGCCGGCTTTCGACACCCGAGGATGTGCAACAATTATTCCGAGCTAAAATTAGTCGCAGAGCACGTGATGTTCCTGGAAGAACGGCTGTGAGAGCGCGAAGGAGGATGCAGAGCACCAGATCTGGATTTCCAGCAGCACTGAGGCAGCCGTGCCCAGCAGTGGCATCTTCAAAGCCAAGGATGTGCCCCAGGGCTCTGGGTGCCCCTGAGGACCCACGTACCGGGACTGGGAGCGGTGCTGAGCTCCTGCCGTCACCTCGGGGCAGTCAATTCACCGGCACCATCCAGCCCGTGGGGTGACCGGGCTAGTGGCCGGCTAGGGGCTGCACTGCGGGGCTGGCCTTGAGGTGGGCAGGAAACTCTCCACGATGCTGGGAAGGTGGGTGGGACACAGCACCCACGACACCTTGCAAGGTGGGCACACAGAGCACCCACAGCGCCGTGCAAGGTGGGTGGGACACAGCACCCACAAAACCTCGCCAGGAGCAAATCCAGCACCAACAACACTGTGCAAGGTGGGTGCATCCAGCACCCACGATGCGGAGCAAGGGGGTCACATCCAGCACCCGTGATGCGGAGCGAGGTGGGCGCATCCAGCACCAACAACACTGTGCAAGGTGGGTGCATCCAGCACCCGCGATGCGGAGCAAGGGGGTCACATCCAGCACCCGTGATGCGCAGCGAGGCGGGCGCATCCAAACGGGGGGTCCCCATCCAGCATCCACCATGCTGTGCAAAGTGGGTGGCACACAGCACCGTGCAAGGTAGGTGAATCCAGCACCCACAACACTGTGCAAGGTGGGCACACAGAGCACCCACAGCGCCGTGCAAGGCGGGTGGGACACAGCACCCACAAAACCTTGCCAGGAGCACATCCAGCACCAACAACGCCGTGCAAGGTGGGTGCATCCAGCACCCACGATGCGGAGCGAGGTGGGCACATCCAGCACCTGCGATTCTGTGCAAGGGGGACACATTCAGCACCCACGATGCTATGCAAGGTGGGCGCATCCAGCACCCACGATGCGGAGCGAGGTGGGCGCATCCAGCACCAACAACGCTGTGCAAGGTGGGCGCATCCAGCACCCGCGATGCGGAGCGAGGGGGGCACATCCAGCACCCACGATGCGGAGCAAGGTGGATGCATCCAGCACCCGCGATGCGGAGCAAGGGGGTCACATCCAGCACCCGTGATGCGGAGCGAGGTGGGCGCATCCAGCACCAACAACACTGTGCAAGGTGGGCTCACAGAGCACCCACAGCACTGTGCAAGGTGGGTGGGACACAGCACCCACAAAACCTTGAAAGGAGCACATCCAGCACCAACAACACTGTGCAAGGTGGGTGCATCCAGCACCCGCGATGCGGAGCAAGGGGGTCACATCCAGCACCCGTGATGCGCAGCGAGGCGGGCGCATCC